GTTCGGAGGCAGCCATAGTAATTTTATATTGGTGAATACTGCGGCTCTTGTTATAACAAGGGGCGTTATCTATAAGTATTAAAATAGAGCGTCTTTGAAAATCATGTGGTTGACATCGGACAGCCAACCTTGAAATAACGCAAAATTCATGCTTGCGTTCTTTAAAAAGTTATAATTGCAAGGAAAGCTTTTTTATCTATACCTCAGAAACCTCTTGGAGTCTGAAATTCTCCAACAAGCAACGGTGATAAATTTGATGCGGTCGTGCCCCACAAAACCAAAAGATACTTGACCCTTTGTTTGGATTTTTTGGATCCAAAACCAGTTTGTCCTTTGAGAACTAATATTCTTTCTGGGAGCTAATTGCAATGCAAAGCTGTTTCGTCAGTATTGAAAATATCACAGTCAGCACATCCATGGATTAACTACGGTAATTCCGCTCGAAACTCATTCATTGCATCACATGGTGTGCCAAACTTTGTAGGATTGAATACCATATCTGTTTGACTAAGAGCGAAGCCAACTTGTGGAAGCCTTGAAGTCTCGGTGATGTATTCTTTGTGATCGCTGAATTGCCTTCTTACAAACGATGCTCTCCACCATGGAGACTCACCGTACTTTTCCTTCATAGAAGCAAACCAAGCCAAGGTGGCCTCATTCATTGTCTTGGTCATTCTGTTGGTTTTCAGGTGGTATCTCTCCTGAGATGCTCCGGCGTTCAGAAATTATCCGACAGTGGTTCGATAGAATATAACATTGTAACCAGTTTTTCTTGTAGTACCAAGTGATTTAGCTCCGCAGCTCTAAGTTGCACCTGGTTGATTCAACATCTCCAACACATTCTGATCGATACGTATGTCTTCTTCACAAGGATTGTCCAATCAGTGAACAGTGTCATGTTTACATCACACCAGATGAAACGTTATAGGCTAAATGCGACGTTGCAAGTTCGTTGGTCAATGGTCGCCTCGAACATTGGTCAACAACCAAGTGCGTAGGTATCATGAACTGCGACATATTGAGGGGTGTGACATTGCATAGTCAGAAACTACGTTATTATACATACGGTTGGTATGGGTTTTCGAAAAACGGGAAGATATTGGAAAATGCGACTTCTCAGGGGTGCGACATAACAGAAGATTGACTGTATTGTTGTGTCGTGAGCCGGTGTTATATATATATATATCGGCGTCGAAACAACGCTGTATGATGGAATGAAAATGTAAAGTAAATATTTCTGTTTTCCTTTTGTATGGATCGAATATGCAAATGTTCAGCCAGCACCGTGTTGCACAGTTCTGGTGGAGCAACCAGATGGATATACCCAGACTGGGCATAGACTTTTACGTAATCGTGTTCGCGCACTAACGCGAGCGCGGAAAGAGAGCTACAAAACCCGACGCATGAGAACGTAAAGTCAAGGCTAATGAAAACTGAAACATTAATGGTTAGCAGCTTCATTATCATCTGACCCAATACGACGCCTACCCTAGGGGGGTCTTGTTGTTCGCAACTCCCAGATCCACTACTTGGAGAACCGGATACCGTAAGTAGACAGCAGGTCCTGATGATTGTTGGGCTGTCGCTTCTCATCCCAGTAGTTGTCTCACGTACCTGCGATTTGTTTTTCACTTCACACTGCTGTGCTCAAAAGCGTTTCACTCTCGTTTACATTGGTCGTGTTTGGGGTTGAATTCCGTCCTCGACATTCCCTTTTCTCGATCCTGTTCAACCTATGGCTGTTCGTGTAATCAACAATTTAATATTGATTTACTCCATGCAGCCACTAGCCCACTGCCACTTTTTTTGTACCACTCCATTTTTATCGATAGTATCATGCCTTTTGTTCGCAGAACCCTACAGCTGCATCCATACTCCTCTTTTCCTTGTTGAACACACGAACAGACAATAAGCCAATTTAGATTTCATTCATCCTTTTTCGTAGAACTGTTGAGCTGTGAAACACCATCCTTGTTTTTTTTGTTTTATTTCCCCTACAGTTTGTTCACTTTAGAGCAAAAATGTCAGGCAACTGATTTTGAAGTAGATTTCCTTGAACGCTAAGTACTCATGTAGTATAATTTCAGAATGGAGAATGATACGGGCGAGTTATTGTTTGATTTTTTCGGTTGTTTAATATAAGCACCAAGTATACGTTTGTATTTTTGTGACTGTTGTGCGGTAACTTTGGTTGAAGGGCACCCTCCCTCGAATTCATCTGAGTTCCTTTTTATTGTACCCCGGTGTTGGATTACTCATGACGTAACGAGGTAACCATCACTTAAAACTAGGAGGATAATAGGATATTGTGACTCTTGTGCTTGACTCGAGTTATCGCACAGCTGATTTGTCTTTAGCTTTCTACATTAGAACAGTTAAAAAACCTTCCTACACTCGATGTAGCGGCCAATCTAATTGTGTGCAAAGTAAGACGCGGTAGAATAATACTGCTCCATCACACTCAACCCCGTAATATTCACCTCTCTCACAAATGGTCTAGAATCAGACCAAGGGACTGAATTCAGAGAAAATGCAAATAAAATCTATTTCTTGACCCATTCTTCTTTACTTTCTTGTCGAAACATTGATATATATGCGAATACATGTCGGTGGCACAGTGTTACAAACATCATATTTCTCCCGAGGTTGTTCCCGAGCTCCCTCACCCTCACGTAAACTTCCCCGTTGTCTTGGTTCCACAAGGTACCCTTTGATGGAACGCTTTAACCTCGCTGAGACTGGTTCCTGTCATCATGTATTTATTAAAAAGAAAGGAAAGAAAAGTATGCTCCTGCACTTGTACATGATCATGTAGCATTTGGCAAATAGGCTCAGTGAGATAAATTTGAAGAGCGGGCATAACAGTGCTAGGTTGCACTATTTATGCGAAGGTGACTTCGCTGCATCTCAACTGGTACAATACGGGAGATGGGAAGCCCCTTGGGGCCTATCCTAGTGGACCTATTCGTCACAAAGTTGGAATGTGAGGCGGCACATATCCTAGACCAGTTTACATTATTTAGAAGATACGTTGATGATATACTCATCAAAGGACAAGACCGACAACAAGTAACTTCCTCCCTTCGAGCCATGAACAGTTTGCACAAGAATATACATTTCTCACTAGAAGAAGAACAAAACGATCGCCTCGCATTTTTAGACATTCAAATGACAAGCAGGCAAGACGGAACGATTCTCAGAACCGTATACCGCAAGAGTACACGGGCGGGT